GGGGGGAGGGGGGGGGGGGGAAGGGGGGGGGGGGGGGGGCAGGTAGAAAAACATCCTTGGCGGTTTCGAAGCGAGCGAGAGTTTGGGAGGGCTAATCAGGGGCGAAAGAGGAAGACAAGCGGGACAGGCGAGCAGGTAGGCAGATAGGCAGGGTAGCAGGCAGGAAGAGAGGAAGGAAGGGCGCTTGCGCGATGGTACGGCCGGGCTAGACGCGAGAGCCGCCACTCCCGAGCGCGTAGCGGTGTAGCGCGGGTGCTGACCGAGTGTCCCCGTGAGAAGAGCGAGAGAGAGTGCGAGAGCGAGCGAGTGAGCGAGCGAGCAAGGGTGCGAGATCGAGGAGAGTGGCGAGAGAAGAGAGAAGAATGTCCATCGTCGAAGGAAGGATCCCGTGGAAGCGGAGCCTGCGGCAGGACATCTTCGTCGGGCAGGCGGCTCCGACCTTGTAGGACAAGCAGAACGAAGAGGGGATCTTCTACGAGGAGGATCTCGCCGCTATCTCCCTCTTCCACCGAGCCCCTGCCGTTCCCTGCCCCTTCGAAACCTCCTGATCCCACGATCCCAGGTGAGAGCCGAGACGACGGGAGCAAGAACAACGGAAAGAAAGCTCGCTAAGCATCATCGAGCGGAGCTCGTCCGGTGGCCGAGAGAACGCTCGCGAATACACACACACACAGTGCCTCGAGGAAACTCGCGACGGAGCCTCGCGTGCGTCCGAGTTTAGAGTTTTAACACCATCGTCGTCCGTGAACGTCGTCGCCGTCGCCCCGTCGGTTCGTTGCTGCGAGATTCATTTCGTACGTGTTGTATCGGATCGCCGAGAACCCAGGCCGAGACTGTATCGGCGACGTTCAGCCGAGACACGGACGCGGCGCGACACGGGAAACTGGGTGACATTGTTGGATGTTGAAGTTGCCGAGAGGAGATTATCGTCGCCGGGGAGAGGAGTTCCCGTGGTGGTCTCGTCGCGAGTGAAAGAAAGCGGAAAGAGGGGTGGTACTCTCTCGCCGTTGGTTCTCGAAGAGGACCGATCGCTCTCTGGAGGCTCGGCCGCGAGGGATCGGTGTGAGGTGATTCGATTTCAGCCGGCTATTACAGTGTACCGAGAGGTCGAACGCGAGTGACAGTGAAAAGCAAAGAACCCGGTGAGATACGAGTATCTGACAGCCGCCGAGCTGAATCGCGAGGAAAGGAAATAGTAGGAGAGAGAAAGCGGGGACCGAAAAGCAGACGGAGAGAGCAAGACGGAGGTAGG